AGGACTATGGTGTGGTCTGCACAATCTCCTGACCTTAACCCATTGGAATATCTCTGGGACCTTGTCAAAAGGAGACTTGCAGAGTATGAGCATTCCCCTAAGGAAATAGTAGCAATGGTTGGGAATAAAGAAGTGTGGGAGCAATTTCAAACTCAGACATAATATTTTTATGTATATTTTTATTTATATAAGCAAATAATAGTAACCATCCTCTGATTTGACTGAGATCCCACCATCTATATTAACAGCTGCAAAACTGTTACAATGGTATCTCTGTCTTAAAATAGGCATATCTTCACATCCCCTTGGCCAAATCACGTGATCTAAGTGTCAGTCTGTAGCCAAGGGTTTGTAGTTCGCACACCCCCACCAACACTAAGCATGATTCCCATGTGCATAGGCACTATATTGTGTACACTGAAAAAGTACCAAACATTGTAACAGTTTTGCAAGTCACTGTAATAAATATTTTACCACCCTATCGGCCTACCTGTCTATCTAATATACCCCCATGTTGGCCTACCCGTATATACAATAAATATTTCACTGCCCCATTGGCCCACCCATCTACAAAATAATACTAATATGTCAGCCCACCTGTCTATATAATAATATCTGCCATACATCTCTCTTCAGCCCAGCTGTCTATAATATATGTCTATCCTACTCTACATATTACCCAGATGGGCCCACCCATCTCCATCAGTAATAATATTTCTCCCAGCCCATCCACCACTGTCAAGGATATTTATGACATTGGCATACATAGATGGGCCTACCCATCAACATCAAGGATATACATAACATCAGCCCATAGTCTGCTGGTTTGTCTTATACAGGATATTATGTAGGTCAGGTGACCCATATAATATGGAGTTTGTCACTGAAGGGGCTCTATCCAGATGGTTTCATTGCCATGAAGAATAAGATGATGTTGCAAGGAAGTCAAGTTTCCAGCCATTGTGAGCTAGCTTAAAGATAGGATGTGCACTTTCCATAATAGTGTTCACCAACTGAGTTCTGGATGCCATGAGTTTTCCCCAAAATGATGGCACTAGATTATGGGTGTCAAGCTCAGACCATGCCCCCTGCAGTGACTTACAGATAGCTTCAACTACAGCTTCAGATATCAGGTTCCCAATTTTGTCCTCCAAAAATGGCAGTTTTCTGTGATCACTTGAAGTCACCTCCAGAGAATCCAATCAGTCAAGGTAGTCAGCTTTGTTCCAGAAGTGAACCTTGGGATGCATCTGAGCATTTGGGCAGTGAGGATCATATTTTGGTGCAGAACCAGGTGTAGGTTTTTGAGCAAATTGAAGTGGGTCAGTGACTGAAATATGGACAGCATTGGTGAGTGTTTGAAAAGCAGTGCTGTCAAATGTGTCTGAGTCTAAATCAAACTTGTAAACTGATATGTATGTGATTGTATTGCATGTAGCTGTAACTTTGAGGATTTGCATCTCCAGAGCCTTGCAGTGTTCATGCAAGGCCTGGAGCTGCTAATTATCATGCATATATCCACCCTATAATTTATCTTATTAGTTTGCAGACTTGGTGAAGAAATTATCAGGACAAAGGCACCTGTTGGAACAGGGTCAGAATCAGTTGTGGGGGGACCCTTGGATCAGTCATATATTAATCTTCAATGTCAGGCAATGGCATATGACCAGAAGACAGGGGTGCCGGTGATGGGGTATATTCCCCCAAATGCAGATTCTGTGAAGAATAACCAGGAGTTTTATCTGAATCAAACAAAGACATGCTGTTGTGATGATCATATCCCTGCTAGGCTTGCATGGCTGTCTTTTGATATAGGTGATGGAAAGGTAGCCCTCATATCATTCATCACTCTCCTATATGCAGCCTTTATTAGTTTCAGCTACAAAACCATTGTCTGCTCCTTAGGCCCCACTTTCCTGTGATGCCTGCACACACCATGCATTGCTATTCATGTTCTCGCACCTTAACCTGCACATTTCCTGTGCCTCACACACCATTAGTTCACCTGGTAATGTGTTTCAGGTGCATCAGTACACAACTGCTTTGCATCAACTGCTTTTCCTACACTCAACCCACTTCTGATGTGCATTCCCATGCTCTGTGGACCCACACATTCACTCCTGCTGTGACAGTCAAGTTGTCCTTGGGCTTAGATTTACTTACTTTCATTACCTTTACCTACCCCCACTTTCTTTAGCTCATGTTTGCATTTTTGCAGCTTATATAAGCATTGCATCTTACCTTTCACTCTTTACCTGTAGTCTGAGACTAGCAGTTTTATGATGATTTCTCTCCTCTCTGAGCTCTGGGTCTAGTACAGAAACCCTTGTGGGTTGAATAGCAGCTAGGTACTTTACCAAGTATCTAGCCAAGTTGTGTTACTCACACCACTGTTAAGGTCTTACTCAAGGGATAACTGGATCCAAAGGGCTTTGGCCTCAGCTTATGCACTGTGCCCCTTACCCGAGTATTGCCCCTTATTTCAGGAAGGCAAGACTAACGTGTCTGGAAGGTCGGACGAGTATTGTAACAGATCCGGATGATTTCCAGATGCGGGATAGGCATCGTAGGGCTAATCCGGACGAGTCCAGACTAGAAACTAATGGTAATAGACTGTCAGAGACAGAGGCAGATACAGATAGACTACAGGAATCAATCCTAAGTCTCAGAGGGTAACAAGAGTGGAGGTACTCAAGTCCAGAGGACAGGAATGAGTAGAACTAAGATGATATTCGAACTGAGGTACTACAGAAAGTTACAGGAGGTTATATACTATAGGTATCTAACAGAATGATCAATCAGCAGAGTCCAAGGCTATGTACGAAGCATGTGGATAGTCTATTGGTAAGTAGAAATGGAAATGAAACATAGGTAGCAGATCAGGGAGCAGGATGGATATACAGATAACCGAAATACTGGAGTTAGGAGGTTACCGAAAGGAGACAAGCGCTGGTTGTGGATTCGGATGAGTTGTGGACCGGACCGGATGAGTGGATAGATTGAATAATGAGATGTTGGAGGAAGATAAGATGTGGATAGGATCAGAGATAAGATGTGGATCTGAGATGAGATAAGGGTCAGATCTGAGATCCGGATATGCGGATATGACAACCACACTGTGTGCATACCTGCAGTCGATTTCCTGCACCTTCAGAGTACCTTACAGATGTCCTGTGTCAGTCCATTGTCCATCCTACCTCATTAGTATATATTTTTCCTTGCCTCATGTGTTGTAACAAGTGTTACAGTCTTATTACATGTCTTTCCATATTCCTACTGCCTGTATGCCCTGTCCCTTCCATTTCCAAGAGGGTTTAGCTAGTATAAAGTGCCTAGAGTGACTACTTCATATTTGCTTCCCTTCTACTGCATTTCCTTCCCTTAGGTTTTACTTAGGAGCAGTCACCATTAGTACATGCTTTTAAGCCCCTATTGGTTACCTTATACCTGGACACCTTACCTTGATTTTCCTTACCCTTGCAATCAATACCCTTGCCCTCACTCATCATCTGCCCCATTCCTTAAGACTTCCCTATTCTGTACCTTCACTCCTTTGCATCTTGCACCACACATCAACCAGACATTGACTGCACTTGTGCATTCCTGTGCTCTGTGCACTTTCAGGTCTTTAGTATCATTGGCTATTCTCAGTAGCAATTCCCTTTAGGGTTGAACACTCTTGCTTGCAGGTATAACAGCTAGACAGAGCATCAACCTTATAACAATATTTTTGGTTAGGCACTTTACCAAGTGTCTAGCTATTGTTGTATTTGCACACTGTGAAGATTTGAAGAACTTCCAGTATTGCTAGAGAACATCTTGGCAGTATGATGGGGGTATGAGCTACAGAACTTGCACATACAGTAATATAGAATTATAACTCCACTGGAAAAACATAACTAGGTGAATATCTATTCTACTACTCTACATCTCCATCCTTGTCATTGTCATCCTCATCAACATGATTGATTCCAAGGTTTGAGATCTGTAATCCAGGCTTCTCTAGCAAAAAAAATCACTCCTTGGTGATACCAGAAGGCAGTTTGGGTGTATGTGAAATCATTGCTATAACACTAATGATCTTCTTCACAGGAACAACACAGAGTTCATTAAGGCAAGAGCAGGAGGCCACTGTACATGAGGAGAGTTGGATAAGGGCATTGTCAGGAAGAGAGTATAGCTGGATGACTGTGATGACTGCCAATCTACATCATCAAGCACATCTGCTTCAACAGCCAACCAAGTGAAGTATAGAATCTCACCATGTCATTCCTGCCCACAGTATTTTAGCTGTAGTACTATCATGTCAGTAGTGTATTTAGTATAAGTTTAACAAACATACCTTGATGTTACAAGACACACAAATTTGCTCAAGTTCTTTGAGATTCTCCCTCCATGCTGAGTATGCCACTTGGTCATTAGGTAGAAGGAGGTGAGCCCATCTTTTAATATGAGGTATATCACACTCATATCCAAGAAAGTTAGAGATTGCTCAAGCAGATTCTCCAGTTAGAAATATAGTGTACCTATCACATTTGCAAAGTGTTACGGCGAACCATATGTCAACTAGGATAGGCGCGACAACAGGTACTCGATAAGAGTATCGCCTGAAGCCGGATCAAGACCTCACAAATGTAAGGCTTCTTAAGACAAGTTAGAGAGGGTGTCTCCGACTTGAATATCGATATCAGACACTTAGGATTGGGAGTCCTAAGCGAAGGATGTTCTGGGTAAAACCTAGTAGATTAAAGTGAAGTCTAGCTAAGTACAAGACCTGGTATATATAGGTATGGCTAGCTTTAGGGCCGGTACATATTCGTCATCAAGACGAGTCAGAGATAAGGAAATGAGTCACCTAGTGACGGCACGTGGCGGTCGTGGTGTAATACAAGTATAGTAATCGGTTAGTCTAATGATGGCACAGCTAGATGCGGTCATGACGTAATACACAGATGACAGATGAGAGAAAATGAATAGGGGGTCACTATGTCTGTAACACAAAGCAATGCATACCCATCTCCCAAGTCAATGACTCCCATTAGAAGACCTTTAGGAGGTTTATCGAGCTCAGGCATGATAGACAGGAGAGTATTGACTTGGCAGTGCTGAACACCTTCTTTTGAAAGATTAGTATAAGGGTTGGAGGGCTGCCAGATCTCTTGACCAAGGTTTCCGATTGTTTGCTTCATGGTCCATTGAGCATAGCATATCAGAGGGCCTTTGCATATGGTTTCTGGTACAAGGTGGCTTGTCTGGTGAATGCATGGTTGAATGAATTGGTGTTGGTCCTCCTTAAGCTGATAATAAACCATCTCAAACTCCCATTCCCATACACAAAGAAGGGCATGGGCATCTGTGAAATCTTTAACAGTTATAGAATGTTAACATATCAACTGGAATCCCTGCACAAGCTTGCAGTAGTTAGCCCAGTATAACTCAGGTAGGATACCATAAAGTAGGGTGGAACCAAGGCTGAAGGTGTACACATGAAACTCCCAGGTCTTATAACCAGTGTTGAGCTTTTCAGCAATATTGCAAGGCTTGCAATTGAATGACAGTGGAAGATATGGCCCTGTCTGCTCAACTTCTTTGCCATGGGTATCCAAAATCTCTCCATCTTTGAGTATGGCCCATTCCCATATGTCAATGTTGTCACTTGAACCACAATTGACTGTTGCATGCCACAGACTAAGTAGTAGCTCACTAAAATTGCCTGTGAGGTGCATGACATCCATTGTCATGCAATGGGGGACTCCAAGACAACAAGATGAATGAAGACTGAGAATCAATGGAGCCTTTGTAAGACCCATCTTTATCCTGCAAATCTCCCACTGACACTGGTTTGGTGATGCAACAAGCTAATGCAAGTTGTTAGCATAACCATCAGATCCTGAAGGTGGTAGGTTAGAGACATTGATATCACCATGGTCACTTCCTGCAACACATTGATCATGCAGCTTCAGGAGGGTGGGATAGTAGTGTGTTCCACAAGTCTTTCACCTGCCCATTATTTCACAATACAAGCAACATCTATTCTTCCCACTATGGCCCACTATACCATCCCAATACACCAATCTGGGACCATCAGCTGTTGTAAATCTGAGGTAGAGATCCAATGTAAATACTGTATCACAAGACAAGTCCCAGATCTGCAGTCCTTCTGTCTGAAGAGCTGTGAGATGGTGCAACCCAACAATGAGGAAGGAGTTGAGAATTTTTGGCTTGTTTAGTCTTAGGATGAAGCCACCTGGACATACATGAATTTTCCAATAATGCTTGTCTAGTCATACTGGGAGTGTTCTTCTCATCTGAAATGGCTGCAACAAGATATTTCTTTGGCTTCCTACTGCCCTTGGCCCAAGGCATTTTACCTTCCATTCTATTCCCTTGTTGCATACAATAATGGTTCTCAAAGTCAAACCTTGAAAGAAATTCTCAGTGAAAATATGTGAATTCAGATGCTGCCAGTACAGCAGGTTTTGAGCTCTGACCTGCCATGCCAGTGTGCTCAATGTCATTGTTGCTGGTGTCGATGCTGCAAAAGCTTCGATCTAATCCTTAATCACTATCAGTCAGAATACCCTGGATCATGTCACGATCTAATCAAAGATGTTGAGCCAGTGCATCTGCTAGTATGGATATCATAAAGAAGTGCACTATCCACTGGGAGGGGGTCTGCAGTGCTTGTACTGGACACTTACTTGCCTGGTGCAAAGAAAATGAAGATGCATGTATCAAGCTTTTCTCTGATTCTGCAAAGGATGCCAAGGAGCAAGGTTAGAAGAAGAAGCAGAGTGGTTTTTCAAGAGATATCATCTATGTGCAGGTTGCACAAGCTGTATTTTCAAATGACAAGGATCTGGATGTTCAACAACTCTTCAAGGAGGAGCCTAAGGCATTTATCAAACCAGTTTCAACCTGTTGTGGGAATCACAAAACAGCTGGCCAAGCTGCTGAGTGGAGAGCAGTATGTTTAGCCCATGGGATTCTGACTTGGCTCAGTGCTCAGAGAGTAGAAATTATCATCAAAAAGGACTGTCATTCAGACTGGTACTGACACTGGTGAAAGAGATACATGCTTGAGTAAGCAGCAAAAATGCAAACATAAGCTAATGAAAGTGGGGGTAGGTAAAGGTAAGTAAAGTAAGTAAATCTAAGCCCAAGGAAAACTTAACTGTCACACTGTTTCAGGATGTAAGTATCTAGGTCCTGTGCCATTCATCTTCCTGACCAGAATCACTGATCAGGTGTTTCAGACTTGGGAAAAAATATAATGAATTCAACAAAGACCTCAAGCAGTTGGGAGCAGAAAAGACATATGCTGAGCTGCAAGAGGATCCTAAGATGAAGTCATTGATTGGTAAGTTTCAGCCACTGTTGATCTGTGTATGTCTTAATCATGTCTCCATCACTGGTCAGATACAAAGCTCAAAAAATTTCCTTGGTAGCCTGAGCTTCATCACTGGTGGCAGACAAATCCAGCCTTCAATCATGCCTTCTCTACTGCAGATGCAGAGTGAGATTTTGCATCTGCCACATTGGAACATTTTAATGTTTCCAAGTGCTCAAAACCACCAGCTACAGGTGACAACAATGCTCACACAGATGATAATCCTGAAGAAGGCAAAATAGTCAAGATTAGTATGGATGATAAGGCTGTTGTAGATGTGACTGACGACATGGTGGTCAACCAGCCCCCCCACATAGAATCACTCAAACCACAATCCTCAGCATCATCACTCCCATTGCCACACTGGTACCAATGACCCCAGCTCCCTCCCATTACAACCTCTGATGCACTTGGAGTTGTATCATTGAACTCTCCTGAGCACTCACCAGTACCTAATCAACATGCTCATGCTCCCAATAATTCACTATCCTTTTTTTCTGATTTCAAGCACTCTTTACCTAGCCATCAGTCTACACCTATCAACTCAGAAGATTCAGATATTGGGGCCAGCCAAGCACTGCAGTCTCTCCATGTTAGCTCATTGAAATGAAGTCATGAAAGTTCACCCTCTCTTGCTGCAAAACAATCTCATTCATCTACTCGAAACACGTCACCTCAGTTTAGTCATCCCCCCTCTGCATCACACAAATGCCCTGGCAGCAGTGCTCTCAACCAGACCTCTGCTGCTGCAGAAAAAATGTCTCAAATGGCAAAGTCTCTAATGAAGCACCTTGATGACAAACATGAGGGTTGTACTGAGCACAAAAGCTACAAATGCTGTCCTGCATGATTTGGGAATCATGTATGGACATGACTACTAGGAAGCCCCCTAAAAGACAAAGTTTGTTAGCTTAGGCATCAGGCTAGTCAACCCATACCTTGGTGTCAAACTTTGGTCAAATAGTTTAGTTTCCCCTCTGTGATTCATGAATTTGTTATATCTTGAAGAAAAGTCATTTGTGAGATGGGAATCACATAATGACCTAGTTGATATTGTGAAGCAAGAAGGTTAAGGTATTGCCTTGCCTTTGGCTTATTCACTTTGGCTAGAGAAAACCATAGAGAAAAGTTCAAAGCCTAACAAAAACCTATCTAAAAAGCCTGTGTTTTGTGTCTTGTTATTGTATTATTATTTCTGAGTTGTTTTCTCTAGTATTTCCTTGATTTATTTTTCTATTGGGATGCTCTGACCCATCAGATACTTCACAAAATTATACCTCCAGGGTATGATGTCATAATGATGTCATATGGCTCCACAGATACTCCTGCAAGTATTCTGTTGAAAGTTATGATGTCATGATGATGTCATTTGTTCTGGAATGTTCTGCTCCACTTCTGATGTCATTGCTCCGCTTTTTTACTTACATAATATTCCCACACAAAATGTATATAAAGAGGGCCCATTCTCTCTCAAAAAATAGGATCTCCCACTTGCAATCATTTGAATCTCAGTTTGAGCTACTCACTGTGAAGATTGTTGCTTACAAAGAAAGCCCCTTTGAAGTACCAAGTGCAGGGAAAAGACATTCCCTTGAGATTACATAAGTTTCTTATGATAGAAACTTAGTTTATTTGAGACCAGCTTCTCACCTAGTTTTCTGATATTGACTAACACAAGCTTTGGTCAATCTGATCATTTGTGAGACCAGTTTCTCACTACTTTGTGCCTATTTGACCAACCAGTCTTTGGTCAACATATTCATATTTGAGACTGTAGTCTCTACAGAGAATTATCTTAATGAGGAACCATGTTCCAGTGTCTAGATGGTTTATCCTAGACAAGTTTATAAGTTGGGATAAAACACAAAAGCTTTGGCTAAGTTAATCACATAGATTGGTTTAGCGAGCCTCTCAAGAACTCACACATTATCTACCATGAAAGAAGAAAAGTTGTAGACCATGTTAATCAAGGACTGGCAAGAAGTCTTATCTTAGTGTAATTGTGGTGTCATTACATTTTACACACATTTATATAAGACCCTCAGTTATTAAGACAACGCATGAAACTTCAGGGCAACATTTGGGCTCATGATCTCAAGGTCCACAGTGCTTGTGATGAGCAGGAGCATGTGATGCATCTTGCTGAACAAGACCATCTCAACAAGCAGGAGAGGATGACTCAACAAATTGAGTTTGCAAGAATTGAGCTTGAGCTACTGCGTGCATGTCAAGAAGAGAAGGAGGCTCAGATTCATCATATCACCATGGAGTGTGATCTCAATCAAAACTGAAGTAAGTCTATACTGTGTCATCACAGAATTGATTTTTAGGAAATGCATATAGTTTTGTACTCAATGGTACTAACTTGGTCCTTTCTTGAGAAAATCTCAAGTGCAACTACACACAATAAATACTACAGGTTTGGGATAAGCACTTTGAGTTCACTGAGCTCAAGCTCAAATTTCCCTTGTTAGGTACTAAAGAGGACAAAGAACTTCTACTTGACAAAGAGAGAGTAGTAAAGAAGCCCAAGATCAAGCCCAATCATATGTACCTTTTAATTCCTTCACTTCAACAAGGCAAGCAACCACGCCTTTAATGCATTGCGAAAATCCTGCCTCACTAATCATCCTCTTCTGTGTCACCATCAGCTCACCTTGGCCTCTGAGTTTGTTGATAGAAACAGATGTTCATATCTTCATGGTTTGATTTCTCCTTGATTTCAACAATTAAATTGTGCAGGACAAAGCACAAATGGATCCACATATTTGTGTAGTTGAGGTCCTTCTGGCTTTGGATGAGGATGCAAAGCTCCTGCAGTGATTGGAACCAGCCCTTGATAGAGCCAAAAAAATGCTCTAAACAGACATGAACCTAGACATTGGGTAAGTCTTAAGGTCATACTCAAAGGCTAATGGATCCTAAGGGCTTCAGCCTCAGCTTGTGCGCTGTGCCCCTTACCCAAGTATTGCCCCTTATTTCAGAAGGGCAAGACTAATGCATCTGGAAGGTCAGATGAGTAGCATAGCGGATCCGGATGACTTCTGGATGCAGGATAAGTATCGTAGGGCTAATCCAGACAAGTCCAGACTAGAAACTAATGGTAATGGACTGTCATAGACAGAGGCAGATATGGATAGACTATAGGAATCAATCCTAAGTCTCGGAGGGTGACGAGAGTAGAGATACTCAAGTCTGGAGGACAGGAATGAGTAGAACTAAGATGATATTCAAACTGAAGTGTTACAGAGATTTACAGGAGGTTATATACTATAGGTATCTAATGGAATGATCAATCAGCAGGGTCTGAGGCTATGTACAAAGCATATGGATAGTCTATTGGTAAGTAGAAATGGATCACAAATAATGAAACAGAAATGAAGCATAGGTAACAGATCAGGGAGCAGGACAGATATACAGATAACCAAAATACTGGAGTTAGGGGATTACCGAAAAGAGACAAGCACTGGTTGTGGATTCGGATGAATTGTGGACCAGACTGGATGAGTGGACAGATTGGATGACAAGATGATGGAGGGGGATAAGATGTGGATAGGATTGGAGATAAGATGTGGATCAGATCTGAGATCCGGATATGCAGATATGACAGTAAGGACCAAACATATGTATATATTGCCATTTGAACTCACTATTGACAGGTTACAGTTGAATGTCTTTTGATCCACCATCAAGCTCCCTCCTGGTGGCCATTTATACGGTGGCACATGCTGTTAAGAACCATGCTCAATGGAGAGAGAGACTGACTCAGAGGGGCTTGGCCTCAGCTCATACACTGTGTCCCTTACCCAAGTATGTGCCCTTTATTTCAGATGAAGTCTGATGATGGTCCATTGAAGTCTGAAGGACTTCTGGAGGAGCACAGGAAACGTCCGGAGGAGCACAGGAGAGTTCCAGAGGAATGCAGGAAGTGCTCAGGAGAGTTCCCACTGCAAGGTAATACTTCTACAGGAAACAGGATGGAAGGATAGGAGGGCGGAATGTATGGAGGGCGGATTGTTGGGTTCATCTTACAATCAGACCCAGAAGACATATTATTGACAGTGTTTGCATATTCAGAACCTGGTCTAGCTAATTTTAGCTGACCACATTGATGATTCACCTCCTTGGTGAATGACATGGCAACTTGCTCAAAAGTGACTGTTGTAGGTGCAGAAGTTGTGGACATGGAGGATTGTGTTATGTTACTGACATTGCTCAAGTTGTAGAGCCCAATGTTGAGACTCCTGAAAATGACCCATTCAGTGACATAAAAATGGCTTCCTCATCAGTAAAGGTGATCCACATCTCAGCAAAGTGACAACAGCCATTTTTGATGACACTGAGGTATCTTGGTGTGTCCTCTGCGTCTTTAAGCTTCTCTGTAAAGAGCTGTGAACATAATTCAAATTGCAAGGTGATGTCAAGATGTGCAAATCTTCTTGCAAGGAAATCCCATTGTTCATGTGCAGTAAGAGTTTCATCAAGCATGTTTTGAATGACTGCTGAGAGCTTTCAGCCAATAATAGCCTTGGCCTGCACATCCTCTTTGATCCATTCTCTCATAGACTTGAGTTCATCTACAGTAGGAGAGCCTGCAGTAGCTGGCTTGGGCACAGTGCTCACATATTCAGCTATATCATTGGGATCTGTCCCACTGCTTGTTATGAACTAGGGTGGTTGTCATATCCCACAATCCGGACTCACATTCCATAATGTTCCCACGCCATCCAAGCCTACATCCGGACCCCATATCCAATTCATTCCCAGATCCCCTTCCACTGTGTATGTCATATCCCACAATCCAGACCCACATTCCATCATATTCCCACACCTTCCGAGCCTACATCTGGACCACACTTCATATCCAACTCATTCCCAGATCCCCTTCCACTGTGTGCTCCACACCTCAGCAGGATCAACTATGCTCTGGATTTACCCCTGAGCTCCAGACCATCGGATCTCCACTGCTAGCCTGAACCATAACCCCCTGTCCCATCCACCCTATGTACACTCCATCCAGCAAGACATCTGGACTTCACCTCATCTCAGATTCTGGACTCTATCCACCTTCTCATATCCTGGTCCTGTATCCACCTTGTCTTCTGGATCCCCAGATTTCCAGACCTCTGGATATTAGCTCCGGACCTATTCCCACCCTCTGTCCAATATCCTGCACCTATCCCCATTTAGGCATTCTCTGCTTTCCGGCTTTTGGTTACCTCTTCTTCCGTCTTGCTTATTGATCCTTGTATGAGTCTTCATCTCCGAGTTCATTTACTTATGTTCTGTCTTACTTACTAATGTGTTTCCACATGCTTGTACATAGCCTTGCTCCTTTGCTTACTGATCCCCTCAGATACTGTTCAGTATATACCC